CGGAAAGAGTAAACCAGTTTTATTAAGTAAGGACTTGTGTCGCTAAAGTTTCGTCGGAATGTCGGAACGAAGTTACGGAAAGTTAATTAACAAACAGAAACGTAACAGTATGATTCTGAAATATGAATATGATTTTAAGTAATAATCTACACTCTGAGCTTGTCAGAAACAAGAACCTGGACTGTGTAATAAGCATTTAGTTTAATTTATTAAGTTTTAACTTAGAAAACAATTAATATTCCTTAGCATTACTAAATGTTACTTTAAGGGAAATTTATACTATTAGTTTTAAATAGTTAGGTTATAATTTAATTTAAAATTAAGATGAATATTGTTTAGAAATTATTTTCAGAGGAGTATGTTGTTTGTGGGCTTTTTTCGTGTTTTCGTTTTACCAGGAAGTTACTAGAAAATTGAAGACAAAGAAGACAGCTGACATCAAAAGAAAGGAAAAGAAACAAATTGATAAATCATTGGAATTTAAGGAAAGAAAAGACAACAGTGGGAGTTATAAATTGGAGGATATTAAAGATAAACTAGCTGCACTAATTGTTGAAAAAGATAAAGGAATTAAAATAACAGAAATGAGCAAGAAATACAATGATTTACACAAAGTATGCAAAGCAGGCTTTGATACTAAAGGAACTAGCTGTAGCTAAAATATCCCTGCAAGACACAAAACAACCTTCAACTATAAAACTATACTCATCAAAGAGACCGAATAAGTGGAAGGAAAGCATTGAAGAAGAAATTATGAATTGTATTTGTATGCAACAAATACAAGACGAAATGAAGAAATGGTGGGATTGCCTGCATTGTTACAACTTTAAACTTTATTGTAAAATAAAAAAGGGTGTATAAAGGTATGCCTATGGGAATTAATATGGCCATAACATTAACAGGAAGTTTTTATGTATATATTCGTCCAACAAACTAATATATTTTCAATTTTTGATCGAGGAATATTTGTAAATAACGTCCAGTAAATTTGGAATCACTGTCAGGGATTATAATTTGCGAGAATCATGTAATTTTAAATGATATCAACAATATAATTTATAATTTCTTAAAATCGTTTCAGTTTGTGTACAAGATAAATAACGTTAATAGATAAACATTTATATTGGTGAAGTTTGATCTTCTGTCTTTTTTCTTTCTAGGGTTATTTAAACTTCAACTGGTTTAAAGTTTAACTTTAGTTTAAGACATTATGACGTCTGCAACATCGTAAACATATAATAATAATATATTGATATAAAATTATAATTTATAAGTGAAGTTGCGACAAACATTAACAAACAAAATGAAATCTTAACATTTAAAACCTTTCGGTTCGGATTTTTCTAAAGTTATTTACTTTAAAACTTACATGAATGATACGGCAATTTAAGTATTTAAACTGAACATTTGTATCAAGCTGTACACACATTTGGAAAATAGTCCACAGTTTTTCGTTCAGGATATATTTCTTGATTACGCTTGGGTTAGATGGATAAAGTTGACCGTAAATTCAGTAATAGGTCGTAATGAAAGTGAGTTAATTTTAAATCTAATTTTTCTTTCGTCACGGTGAAAGTAAACACTTGTTTTGTGTGCGTGAACAGGTGGATACGTTTCCTGACAGGTCATTCGATATGCATTGTCACAAATATAAAAATTGAAATCTGCAGTATTTCACTCCCGATGCAGATGTTCCATAGGGTGAGGTAGTTAGCCCTATCCTCTTCATCATGTATGTAAGCGACATGCTATTAAATGACCCAAATTTTAGCTTAACATCACAATTTGCAAACGATGTGACGATTTGGAAGAGCTCTACAAGTACAACTCCTTCGATAGCAGCTACAAATTTACAGCCCATTCTGAATCAAATTGTAGAATACTGTCTAAAAGTAAAGCACAGGATAAAAATAGACTTTCGTAAAACAAACCTAGTCCTTTTTTCAAAATCGATCAAAACATTAAGAAATTCTCCTGAACTATACCTAAATGGAGCTCTTCTAAATATTGTCCCATCGGCAACATTTTTAGGTATAACTTATGATTCAAAACATATTGTTGGTATCTGCTTGTTTGTTAATTTCCGGTAGAAATTCTTTCCGAGGAACTTCA